TATTTCAGGGTGTCCGGGAAAATGTGGGAGGTCTCTCGGATTCAGATATATATAACATTAAAAAATAAGATGACAAGTTCCCATACATTTTTTTCCTTTTTCATTTTATCGACAATGAAGGAGAGTACCTTTTCTTTAGCTTGGTGTTCAAGGTATCGAAATTTTTTTTTAACTCCTTATCATACAGGGTATTAAAAATGTAAGCATTAAAATGTACAACCTAGTCCGCCCCTGGTAAATTAAACAAGCAAATTATGTTTTAAGGGCAGTATTTTAAGAGGTTCTTACTACTGTTTATCATATTAAATTTCCATTAAATTATATTATGTAGTTTGAAAGTTATTCAAGAAAAATTGATTTCCAGTGGCGTCCTTTTAGAGGCCGTTTCTCCGTAAGCAGGGCCGCTAGGAAAAAAATTATGGGAACTTGTCATCTTATTTTTTAATGTTCTATCTGAATCCGAGAGACCTACCACATTTTCCCGGACACCCTGTAGATGCTAATAACAATTTCGCGTAATTCATGTAAATAGTTTAATAAATTTTGGATAGCTGTGAAAATTATGACAGGGCTATTATAATGCTTGTTTAAATAATGATTTCTAGTCCATAAATACATAAGATTGTCTGGTTTCGCCAGTAACAATTTAAAATTACTTATTTAATGATACGACACTGGCTGATAAATATTACCGCGAAATTTTCGAACTCGTCCGACATAATTGTTGACAAACTGAAACTTTGTTTGATTAGTCCCCTCCTGACTTTTTTCCTGCGGACGCCCATGTTGGTAGTCCCAAATATTTTAGAGATTCAAACGGTAACTTTCAATATTTATGAATATACGCAAAATAACGTTTAAATCAAAGTATTTTCGAGAATTCACCTTGTATCTTAAAATTAGTCAGATTCGACCGAAAACAATTTGCAAGGATCTTTTCTTTAAATTAAATAAATTTAATGCTTGAAATAAATAATTGTGTGTACACAATTCGAATTTTTTCCCGCCATAATCGTTGTCTTTGATTGAAAAAAAGTTGTTTAACGTAAACAAACCAATTGCAAACAAGAAAACCTTTTTCAGAGTGGATGAGGCAACGAAATTACCTGAATTCTAAGTCTACAAACTATTTAAATACTAATTCCGGAATCAGTTTCGATAAAATAAAATGACTAATTTAAATGCGAAATATTTCGTAGAAATTGATGAGTGTCGTACATTATGTTCCAACTCATTTAATATTCTTACATCTTACATGTAATTATTACTGTAGTAGTAGGTTTGGTATTAGCGGTAATAAAGAAGTATAACATAAATGTGGGTACTTTTAGCATTTTCAGATATACATATTCGTTGTGTAGGCTTCGCGTAGGCCGTATCGATTCTATTAGTTTATTCTTCAGTCGTGTAGGAGTTATATATAATGACATTTGACAAAAATGAATACATATACGTATGGTCTACTATACACAACATGTAGTAAATTGAATATTTAAATAAATGGTACTTTCCTTGCATCCGGTTTTCATTTAAATCGTTTTAATTTTGGTTTATTTCGTACATTATTTCATCAACTTCAATTAGAGGACTTTACCTAGTTTTTGTATTTGTATCTGTTTTTTCTTACTCAATTGTTGGTAGGTCTTCTACAGCTTGATTCTCTTCCTGTCAGAGTTAATTTTTTTAACAATACTTTAATACACATTTGTTTCGATAAAAAAGTATCTATTTTGTATTATAAATTATACAAAAATGTAAACTAACATTGTATTTTCATGAATTCAGGCATCGCCTAAGATATATGAGGGTAAGTTTGCGAGTCGTTCTTTTGTGTGATGCACAGTTTTCAAATATGTATTGTTTCACTCACTACACTTTTATTTTAATTTTTGTTTGACATTTTTCTTAAGAGTTATTTATTATTTAATAGTTATTGAGATGTTTTGATAATCAAGTGAATATAATATTACCAATTAAAAAAATCAATATTAAGGAATTGCTAATTATTATCTGTTTATATTTCAAAGTTCTCACTTAAATGGTTTTTAAAATCAACATATCTCAACACACTATATTATCATTTTCTTTTAATTTTAATATTAATATTAATCTGTATACTTTATATTTTTGTTTTAGCATGTTAAAATATCTATTCAAACATTATTTAATCTTTAACGTCTCCAAAAGCAGCATGTAATGTAACGATATGCATGCCAAAATAAAAAAAAAATGTATTACCTTTTTAAAGACATTAGTTTTTCCTTTTTTAATGGCCGAAGTTTTTACACCTAACTTTGTTAATTAAATATTATTATCTGTTCAATAAAGACATCTATCGTCTAACCCACAGATTAGTGTTATAAACAACTACTAGTTTTTTTAACAGATGCCAGAGATTTTAATTTAGATTATTATTAATAATAATAATAGCCTATTATTCTCCCACATAACTAACAATAATGTGTGGGTGCATAAAGAGTAGGTACATTGTTTTAGTTCTAGTCATGACTTAAAATGCTCCTGACAAATTATATCCACTAGCCCAATTCATATAATTAGTTTTTGAAATAGTCTTGTTAAAGATAAAAAACTTTTTACTATAATACCGAATTGTTTGTTGAGTTAATCGTTTAAAATCTATTAACTTCGGTACTAGAACTAGAAAGTAATAATATTAAATTTGTTGAAATTATTGAGATTTCAAATACCAACTACCTATTGGCAGAAATTAGTTCTACCTAAGCTAGTGCTTTAGAAAACTGCTGATTTCAGATATGTTGGCAAATTTGAGGATGGTTTTTAATTTAGTTACACAGAAAATGAATATTTATTATAAACAAACCTTTATTTTTATTATGGACCTATTTTAAAAACAATAAATATTTACTATTTTTAATACTTAAGCATCTACAAAAAAAATTCAATATATTAACTCTAATTTAAGGATGATTGTAATTCATTTCCTGAAATGAATTTGGCTCAATTAAATAAACAAAATAACGTTCATTTTACAACAATTTTATTCTGACTGGTCATGCACGCAACAAATATAAAAATATTGTAGATAAGAAACTAGATTTAGAAGGTGATAAAATTTAAAAAAATATCAAATTATTATAAAGGATGATATATTCCACACTAGACATATATTTGTTGACATTAAGTAGTTTATTAATAGCTAAATATACAATTATTGAATTTATAGATTTAGATTCCTCTAAAATATTTATGTTAAGTATTTCTAAAATAATTAAATTTGATTGGGTACATTTTTGCTTAAAATCAAATGTTCTTAAATGCATAATTCATACACAATTATAAACAATTATATAAAAAATTATTTATCATTATTTGTGTTATTTCAGATACGAAAAATAGTGTAGGACTAGTAGGATGTATTGAAGAAATTTCTCACAATGCAATAGCGATATATTGGAATCCTATGGAAAGCCCCGCTAAGGTAAAAACACCCATAAATTTAAATAATTCAGTAAAAACTAATATCCATTGTTTTACAGATAAATATTGCCGTCCAGTGTTTAAGCACGGATTTCAGTAGTCAAAAAGGAGTAAAGGGACTACCTCTACATTTACAAATAGACACCTATGAAGATCCCAGGGATTCCCAAATTTTCCACAGGGGTTACTGTCAAATAAAGGTGTTCTGTGATAAGGTAAATAAACATTTTCATCTCTGTGTTATTTAGAAACGTTGCATAGTACCCATTGTTACCTACTCATCGGTTATATGGTGACACAAGGCTAAAAGCATAACGGCCAGCAGAAAATTTTATAGTACAAAAGTGCAGAAAAAAGTGGTGACCTTTTTATTTCGAACTTTATTGGAGCCAACTCATTCCCAAAGACAAAAACGGACTATTATTGCTTTTTTTCGGAATCATAGCACTATATCCATGTTTAATCATCTTTGATGATGTTATACACCAAATTAAACGACCCACGGTCAAAGCGATCTTGTGTGGAGATTCCACCGAAAACAAAGCTTACGGACTTTCAAACGTTTGTATAAAATAATGTTAATTTCTTTCACACCAATCTTTAAATTTTCTTGAATGTTTTGTGACAGTAATGTGCCGGTCTTCTTTAATAATATTCCGAATAAGATCAATATTTTTTCTGTGACTGCCGTTTTTGGCCTAGGAGCTAGAAAACTGTCATTTACGGAAAGTTGACCACGTTGAAATTCATTGTACCACCGCTTTACGATAGCGACGAAACACGACTTTGTCACCAAGCACTCGATTAATTTCCAAAAAACATTCTTTACGGTTTAAGCCACGCTTGAAATTGTAAAAACTCACTGGTAGGTAATGCTCCGTGTTCATTTTTATCACTTGGCGAAAGGATTACTTTAAACTTATATGATCTACAAACAAGACCAAGACTCAGATTCATGATTAAGGGCCCAAACCAGGAAAATCTCCGAACGAAGTTTCATCATATAGACCAATATATCTATTGCCTATAATATCGAAACTATTTGAATACTAATAAAAAGACTGAAACCCATCATTGAAGAAAGGAAACTTATTCCAGATTACCAGTTCGTCTTTAGAAAAAACCATTCAACTAAAGAATCTCAAATGCGATTGAAAAAGCATTAGAAAACAAAGAAGTCTGTTCAGATATCTTCCTCGATGTTGCGCAGGCTTTTGATAAAGTATGGCATGATGGCTTAAAACATAAACTAAATGTGCTACTTCCACAGCCATACTCAGAGCTATTGGATTCACACATTTCAGATAGATTCTTTAGAGTAAAACAAGATGAAGCATTTTCTGAATTGAAATAAATTAAAGCAGGCGTACCACAGGGAAGCGTCCTGGGGCCCACTTTGTTTCTGTTGTACACTTGTGACATATTCCAACTAGAACAAAACAATAGCTACATTTGCAGATGATACTGCGATCCTAGCAATAGGCAAAGATCATGAAGAAGCTGAAAATAAACTACAAACATCAGTTAATCAAATAAATAATTGGACCAAAAGATGGCGTATTAATCTAAACGAAACCAAATCTGTTAATATTAATTTTACTAACAAAAATGGTCAAAGAATACCAATTAACATAAATAATGTTCAGGTCCCTTATGCTAACTCGGCAAAATTTCTAGGTATTGCATTAGGTGCAAGACTTCGCTGGAAGATGTTAAAAAGAAACGACATGAGTTAGATAAAAAATTCAAGAAAATGTACTGGTTACTTGGTAGGCATTCCAGCCTACCTACATATAACAAAATTATGTTATAAAAACAAGTTCTCAAACCAATTTGGACCTATAGCATTCAGCTCTGGGGTTATGCCAGCTACAGAAATATTCTAATAATCCAAAGATTCCAGAACAAAGTATTGAGGAACACTGTCGATGCTCCTTGGTACATTAGAAACAGCGACCTTCATCAAGACCTTCAGATGGACACTGTCGTCCAGACTATCACCAGATTCGCTAGGAGTAACTAACAATGGCTCCACCAACATGTGAACGTTGAGGCGATCCAGCTTCTTAACAACACAAACCTGAGAAGAAGACTCAAGAGAGTGAAGCCTTTTGAGTTAGCCAAGTGATTGTGTTAATAACAAAGCAAAGCATTGTGCGGTTTAATGTTACACGTTAGTTCAGTGTAATTATTAGACCATAAGGTATACACTAGCGAGTAGAACTTTACTTTTTAAAATTGCAATCCTAGTTAAGTTAGGTTATAACAAAATTACTCATTGATCAACTCTTGATCAGATTGTAATATTAATAAACGCCCCTTTTGGAGTATTTTTTTCACAAAAAAAAAATGATTAAGAACCTGATGAAAGACCAGGACCATGTCGGTTCTTGATTATGTAAATACAAAATGAATATTATTATGAAATATAGTCATGGCTAGAAATCACATGCAACATAAAAATCTCTAAATGCATATAAATGTCTTGGAGAATGTTCGTCAAGAAAATAACAAAAGAACCTAAACAAGAATAATAAAAAAAAAGATAAAATTCCAGATGAGTACACCACACAATCACTATGAAAATATAGCGACGAAATGCCTAAAAGATCCCCAATAAAAAGAATAACCATATATCTGGGGTTATTCTGAGGATTGAGTCGACGATATGTCAAATAACATTATGATTTTCTTCATTTATTTTCAGTTAATAATTCTATTCCCTCAAGTGAACCCTTAAAATTAGTATACATCCATTTTTTATGAAGTATTAAGGCATTTTTTTTGTAACTGCTAATTTAGAACAATTACCAAACTGTCCTCGTATCTAAAGAATCTTCTATCTAAAAAGTCTTTATAGCGACTATCTTCTTCTAGTTCTTAAATATAATTATTTATATTCTTGCAGGGCGCAGAGAGAAAAACACGGGATGAAGAAAGGCGAGCAGCTAAACGAAAAATGACAGCGACAGGTAGAAAAAAGTTGGACGAATTGTACCATCCGATGTGCGAAAGATCAGAATTCTACACAATGAGCGATCTTACGAAACCTCCGGTATTATTTTCTCCAGCAGAGGACATCGATAAAGTAAGAAAACGATATTCAAATTTTATTAGAATTTATTAACACTATTTTTTTAGTTGACTTCAATGGAGCTGCAGGGGTTTTACTCTCAAGAAGATGGATCATTAAGTGGTCCCGTGGATCACGTAAAGACAGGTTCACCATTCCTTTTACACCCAGCCTCAAAAACACCTACGACACCTACTCTGAAGTTCCATAACCATTTTCCACCAGATGCTGACAAAAAGGAAAACAGTATATTAGACAGTAGTTTATCATCCGATGGAAACGTTTTTTCCCCACCTATTAACAAAAGGCCAAAAATGATGAGTGGGTCTGGTGGTGTGGGTCCTCCTCCTTTGAACGAAAGAGTGATGCTGTATGTACGCCAGGAAAACGATGACGTGTATACACCGCTTCACGTTGTTCCTCCCACTACAGTTGGACTTCTAAATGCAGTAAGTTTTATGCCTAAATGTAACGCTTAGCTTTATTACGCTTCATGGGTTTCCAGCCAAAATTAAACCCCAGTTGATAATATAAAGTCCAGTTTTTTCAACCGTCAAAGGATTGAATAAAAAGAATAGTTGGTAAATAAAACTCATGTCGAGATTTGGTTAACACTAAAACTTTTATTCTTTTTATTTATATCATCTTATTTTAATTACATAACTAACATTTAACAAACGTTTTCATCCATTTGAAACTGATTAAACTAAACCAGTTAGTCAAACTATATTGAAAATAAATTTAAAACTTACTAGGTCCAGAAATTTCGTTACAGTTTGATAAATGTTTGTAAAATCTTAAAAAAATGTGTAAAATGGGATTGTGTTTTTTGTTTTTTAATTGGTAATCATTTTTGCTGGAAGCCCTTTGCCTAATGCATGGACCTGGACGTACTGGGCTTTTACACATCTCATTTCGTTTACATAACACTAAAAATAAAACTAAAACCGGCATGTTGGATTAACAAATCATAATATCGACGTGGGTCGACAGTTCACATTTGCAGCTCCACGTACTTGTCATTTTTTTATATTAAAAAAAAGCTCAGTACTTCTTCTAAATCTATGCTAAAATTAAGAAAGACAGAAATCTATACCTTTCCTAACTAAAAAAATTAATTCTGTTTTCCTTATTTTGCAGATTGAGAATAAGTACAAAATTAGCGCGTCGAGTATAAATAACTTGTATCGCAAAAACAGAAAAGGGTAAGTTTAGACATTTTTGACAAATGTTTGGAGTAGTTGTGAATAGTGAACTGGACACTAACTGATTGAATACTAACAGTTCGCCTTTTACTAACTACTTACACAAATTATTAAAACTTAATTACAACATAGTAAAGTACCTTTATAAAAATCATCATAAATGATAAAAATAAAAATAGATTATCGATTTCTCAAATGTGGACAATGTATTCAGAAGAACAAACAATGAAAACACCACATTTTTAACTTAACGCATCTAGTTTCGATCTTAGTTAGTCATCCTCAGGCCTCTCGTTATTATATTATAGGCCTGACTAAGGTCGTTAATATTAAGTTGCGTTAAGATTAAAATTTGTTATTAAAGTTATGTGGTACCAATTTAGTAATTCTTCTGATAATAAAAATGACTTAAATATTAAATATACCTTTGTTATATAATCGTGGTTGTCTTTCAAAACAATTAACATTTATAAAAATAGATACTTTCTAAATTTCTATTTGTCTAATGTATTTGTTATCCATTTTCATCAATTGCTGTGAAAGTTGAATGCAATTATTAAGGGTACTTTACAATAGCCGAGAATTTTTATTAAAACAATAAAAATATCTGTTGAAATAAATTGGGTAAATAGTTTTTCAGTTAGCGATTTTTTATTAGAATCATGTAGGTCTGTAAAAGGTATTTATAAAAAACGACGTTATCCTTATATCAAAGTAAGCCTTTAAGTAAACTTACCTCTAACTGACCCTAAAGTTTTAAAACATTTCTCTTTATAAATTTAAAATGACCGAAGTTTTAGGTAACAAAAAAAACGTTTTAAAATTATTTATAATAGGTTTGTTCCAACAGATCCTTTCTGATGTGTCTCTGACTCGTTTATGGATGCATTCATAAACTAATCACTGCGCATGTCAGTCCGTTTATTCGTCCGTTGTTTAATCAGCGACTTATACTTGTTGGAACGCAAAATGCAATGGAATTGGTCAAACCAAAGACATGTTTGGTGAATTGGTATTTTAAACATTATTTAAATACAACAAAATACATTTATTTAGCTGTCTCGAACTCTCTATGTGAATATATAATTTTGAAACATTCAGATATTTATTTTTATTAAGAATAAGTACCTATTTTACATAAAAAAACCCACACAAGATAAAAACAAAAATTTCGCTAAAACCATGAAAATTCGCGTACGTAAGAGTACCTTTTTTGTAGTAAATAAGTTACACAATTCAAATTTTATGCTTAAACCCTTTTTCTTTCATTGGCGTAGAAATTTTAAATGTGAACTCATTGAAAAAATCTACTTTGTACTGAGGTACTATTTTCTTTAATAGGATTATTTTGGTCTAAGGAATATGTCGTATTTTTTTGTAAAGACCTTTTATCATTGGTAAAAATATAAATAAATATAATGTCCTAATTCTAACCGTTAATAAAAGTACATCATAACTTCAGATATTTAAAGTGGAAAAAAAAAATTTAAAAACCCCATAGAAAATCTTAATAACCTTGTCCCATCTGTATCTGTAATGTGTGGAGGGTGGGTTACTCCACGGCACTTAGGCCTCATTAGGCCCATTGTGCATCCTCCTGAGAAGATGATAGGCATCTCTTAGCTCGTGAGCCAGCCTACAGATTTAATGTAGTTGACAAAGTCGCCAAGAGGTGCTTCTCTTCTCATATTGCGACCAGACTTACTTAATCCTGAAACCTTTTCGGTTTAAGATAGATGATAAAGTTGCATGGTAAGGCGGTATTTTCCTCCATATTAATTATTCATATTTCTGTCAACAGATTCTCTCATTTCATCTTTCTTTGCCTTGCTCCATTTCTTTTAACTATTCTTCTAGCTTCATTTAGACAATAATTTATTGAACTTTTCAACTTAGGTCTAGCCGTTTCTGTGGATATTATAATAATTGTTTCCCACCAATGGATAAGAGATTTGGTTTCACTACTTTTTGAACCACGTCAGAGGTGTCAAACAATCTTCTTGTTTCTGGCGATTGTTTCACTTATTTCATCTTTGTAGAACCATTTACTTTTCATAATTCCTCGTACGTACATAAATGTATCTACTCGTTCTGTGTTTGTTGTTATTTTAAAATTCTCGCTTGACTCCATCTTTAAGTATATTTAAATTCATGTATGTAGTAATTTTTTTGCAAAAATAGAAATCATTTACAATTGAATTATGGTTTCTGAAGATGACGATTAAATTATTGCATGATTTAAAATCTAAAATAGTATATATGCCAAAATATATAGTATATAGTATACTAATTGCATAAAAGAATGAGATTGTAGCGAGTAGTATTTGTTTTAAATTGAAGTAAAAATGATTTTTGTGTAGTTGTCTCTTTCTAAATATTCCTTACAACTATGTCCTAGCAATTTAAGCAATTAGCAAATTTGTTACGAGTGCAGATTTTAAAAGGTTTTCTTTTGTTTCAGCATTATAGCCAAGATTGATGACGATATGGTAGCGTATTATTGCAACGAGGATTTGTTCCTGTTGGAATTGAAAGCAGTGGATGATGCAGTCGATGTTACTTTCGTGGAGCTAATGGATCATTAACCGCCATTGATATTATCTTACGTACTTATCAGTTTTTGTTGTGATTTGTTTTTTAACGATGTATTTTTAGGAACAATGTTGATCAGAACTTTATTATTTGTTTATAATGTCTAGAATGTTGATTTTACAAGGAGTTTTTTTCAATCATTTATAATCAAACTAAGTTATTGTTAGTTTTTGTTTTTATGTTTATTAAGGACATGATCACGTTTATATTTGTGAAATATTAATGTGATCATTTACATTCAATGTAACTCTACTGTTATCAATTTTTTATATACATGGTGGCAATGTTTTTGTTTCTGAGAATTTAGATGTTTTTATTAGGAACTTAGCATTTAGGTTTACATCGAGTTATAACTGGTGACCCATTATTCCTATTTCACAAAAATTCTTTAATTAGGCACTACAAACATAAGAGAAAATATTTTTTAAAGCTATAGTGCGATTGGTAGCTACTTAAGTATTGTACTTATTGTATTAAATCGATATACTGGAACTATGGGCCACTATGTATACATAATAATATTATTAACTTGGTCGCCATTGATCTCAAAATTGAAATAATGTAAATGATCTGAAATTGTCATGTACAGAAAACCACTAGTGTCTTGTATCTAGGGGTAGGGAAGAAGGGAGTATTTTTTCTTTGTAAATAGCTTTAAGTTGTTTGTAAATATTGACCAGCCATGACTTAGTTATATACGCACCTTAAGTGTTGTGATAAGAACTACTCAAAACCTCTTAATTGAAGAATGTAGCACAAAGGTAATCTTGATACAATCATTTTAGACGTTTTTACTCAATCATATATTTGTTTTAATAAATATAACAGGAGACTATCACTAATATAAATCAATTTTAAAACAATCTAGAAGTACCAACAAGAAATATCTTCATTTTCTTATTATATTCTTAATACATATAACATGTGGTCCTAAACTTTTTAGAAAATAATTAAACGCTGAATTTTTTTTTCATTTCTGGTTTTACGACTTAAAACGTGATACATTCATAAACATTTCGTACGTCCCTGACTTTTTTCCTTGGCTTGATTCAAAATTTCTGGTCGACCACTTTTAGGTAAATTAGCTATACCCTCTTCACATTTCTTTATGATCTTATAAATTGTTGGGGAAATATTTTGCTCTCAAATAGCAACAATATTACGTTTTGACACTGTAAGACATTTTCTTGAACTGGAGCACAAAACTAAACTGATAAAATTAAGACAATTCATTTTCATACATCTTGATTAAACGGAATTTGGTACAATTACTGAATATCTTTGAATTTTCCTCAAAATATTGAGACCATACATTATTGTTGTATATTTTATTTTACATTTTTAAAATCACGACTAAGAAAAGACTATACGATACGTTTTTCTCATGGAATTCACCGTTTTAAATCAGCTGGAGTTTTATAACCAGTGGCATGTACATTTAATAAATTTTTGAAGGGTGAAATAAATTTACGACCATAGATTAAATAAACAATATATGAAATGAAACGTTATGTAACAGTGATATATTTTCTGAGTGGACATTAATTTAAATTTCCGAACTGGTAACTAAAAAATAAAAACTAGATCATTAATCTTTTTGAATACCAAGTGAAGTTACTAATACATTTGGTAAATGTACGTTTTTGTGTAAACTTTTGCTTAAGAGTTACATTTAAAATTAGTAGATATACTGGACTGATATATTTTCAAAAATAATTTTTTATTGTAACTCAAAAACTGATTGAATAAAAATCGAATATTTTGTATATAATATATCGTAAGTCGTAAGGTATTGGTATTTGTGAAAAAAAGTAAAACGATAAATGTAATCAGACTGAGAGAACATCTAAAATGATTGGTATTGATCTGTTTCAGCCTCTGGACTTCTTATTGGTGAATGTTCCTGAATTCTTTTTTTTTTTTTTCATAACACCAATGTCTGGGTATGTTGCAATCAAAATGCCTCACAAAATTTCAAACGTACCTGACTAACGCTTTATATAATCTTTAAATGTTCAAAATGCCATTATATTGAGTATACTTTTGGGATACAATTCTTCAAGAAGTTTATTTTTAATTTTTTCAAAGAATTTTTCTTTAATTTAGAAAATTCTACATGGTACTGATCTGATTATATAAATATTTGTCATTTCTTTCGAATAATTTATTATAAAAAAAATGTGTAAAATCTTTACACACTTTTATTATTTGATATTAGAGTAGTTTTAGAAAAGTATATTAGGTGGCTCTCTGTATTCATAGAGAAATATAAGAATACTATAGACGACTTATCTTCATTGACCACCAATTTAGTTAAGATAGTGACTCAATGATGATTATATTCGCAATATTACTTAAGGTTCTTTTTTATAAATGTATGTCTTGATTTTATAAATAAAATTATATCTGTATTTGACTCTATTACTTTTATTTATTGTACAGTTTTCCTAAAACGAATGGCATAGAGCCCTCTACTATATCTGTCCTGCTCTACATGTTTGTGAAATAACATCTGTAGCTGTAATGTGTGGAGGGTGGATTACCCCACAGCACTTAGGCCTCATTAGGCCCATTGTGCATCCGCCTGAGAAGATAGACACCTTCTAGCTCGTGAGCCAGCCTACAGATTGGGGTACATATAAAGGAAAGCACGAGAAATTAAGGGGTGAACTCAGTTGCTCCCTAGCTATAAGGGTTAACTTTTTTTCTTAATTCCTCAGTTAATAATAATCGAATTATTCCATAAATTCACATAAAAGTAGAGCCGGACGGATAGTTTAAAATGCCCTCTACGGCTTGCCTCTATCTTGAGCCGTTTAGTCGTTATTCACATTTAAAAATAAGTCAAATGCCTTGTCGCGTTTCTGCTATCCTGATACCAAAATTTTGTAGACAAAATTGGATCTTTTCGAATTCGTAACTTTGTATCAGGATAATAGACAAGCGAGGAGATATCGAAAATGTTTATTTTTGCCAAAACTTTTTTAATATTGCTGTTAGAAAAAAACTGAGTATATTTTTGAGATCTACATGTGACCTTCTATCCGTATGCAAATTTAAATTGTTTTTTATTTTTTCAAAAAAATCGAAAGGGTATAGCCTTCCAAATTTTTCGACAAAAATTTTTTTGTGTCCGATCTTGATGAAAATTGGGGTACATATAAAGGTAAGCACGAGCAATTAAGGGGTGAACTCAGTTGCTCCCTAGCTATAAGGGTTAACTTTTTTTTTTCTTAATTCCTCAGTTACGAATAATCGAATTATTCCATAAATTCACATAAAGGTAGAGCCGGACGGATAGTTTAAAATGCCCTCTACGGCTTGCCTCTATCTTGAGCCGTTTAGTCGTTATTCACATTTAAAAATAAGTCAAATACCTTGTCGCGTTTCTGCTATCCTGATACCAAAATTTTGTAGACAAAATTGGATCTTTTCGAATTCGGAACTTTGTATCAGGATAATAGATGAGCGAGGAGATATCAAATTTTTTTATTTTTGCCACAACTTTTTTAATATTGCTTTTAGAAAAAAACTGAGTATATTTTTGAGATCTACATGTGACCTTCTATCCATATGCAAATTTAAATTGTTTTTTATTTTTTCAAAAAAATCGAAAGGGTATAGCCTTCCAAATTTTTCGACAAAAAATTTTTTTGTGTCCGATCTTGATGAAAATTGGGGTACATATAAAGGAAAGCACGAGCAATTAAGGGGCGAACTCAGTTGCTCCCTAGCTATAAGGGTTAACTTTTTTTTTCTTAATTCTTCAGTTAAGAATAATCGAATTATTCCATAAATTCACATAAAGGTAGAGCCGGACGGATAGTTTAAAATGCCCTCTGCGGCTTGCTTCTATCTTGAGCCGTTTAGTCGTTATTCACATTTAAAAATAAGTCAAATACCTTGTCGCGTTTCTGCTATCCTGATACCAAAATTTTGTAGACAAAATTGGATCTTTTTGAATTCGGAACTTTGTATCAGGATAATAGATGAGCGAGGAGATATCAAAATTTTTTATTTTTGCTACAACTTTTTTAATATTGCTTTTAGAAAAAAACTGAGTATATTTTTGAGATCTACATGTGACCTTTTATCCGTATGCAAATTTAAATTGGTTTTTATTTTTTCAAAAAAATCGAAAGGGATAGCCTTCCAAATTTTTCGACAAAAAATTTTTTTGTGTCCGATCTTGATGAAAATTGGGGTACATATAAAGGAAAGCACGAGCAATTAAGGGGCGAACTCAGTTGCTCCCTAGCTATAAGGGTTAACTTTTTTTTTCTTAATTCTTCAGTTAAGAATAATCGAATTATTCCATAAATTCACATAAAGGTAGAGCCGGACGGATAGTTTAAAATGCCCTCTGCGGCTTGCTTCTATCTTGAGCCGTTTAGTCGTTATTCACATTTAAAAATAAGTCAAATACCTTGTCGCGTTTCTGCTATCCTGATACCAAAATTTTGTAGACAAAATTGGATCTTTTTGAATTCGGAACTTTGTATCAGGGTAATAGATGAGCGAAGAGATATCAAAATTGTTTATTTTTGAAACAACTTTTTTAATATTGCTGCTAGAAAAAACTGAGTATATTTTTGAGATCTACATGTGACCTTCTATCCGTATGCAAATTTAAATTGTTTTTATTTTTTCAAAAATAAATTTTAAAACCCAAATGTTTTAGGAAAATAAAAAAAGTTTACTAATAATATATTTATTTATGAAAAATACATGATTTAAATATATAATAAATTGAACAACTTCCCTAAATCTATTTTGACTATTTTCGCGATGATGTCGTGCGTGCGTGCGTGTGTGTGTGCGTGTGTGTGCGCGTGCGCGGGAGTATGTGTGTATGTCTGTGTGTGTGACTGTGTGTGTGGACGAACGACGTCTGTGCGTGCGTGTGACTGTGTGTGTGCGTACGTGCGTCCGTGTGTGTGGGTGCGTGCGTACGTGTGTGTGGGTGCGCGCGTGCGTGCGTGTGGGTTCGCGCGTGTAAGTGCGCGCGTGCGTGCCTGTGTGTACGTGCGCGCGTTCGTGCGTGCGTGTGTGTGTCTGTGCGCGTGTGTATGTGTGTGTGTAAGTGTGTGTGTGAAAGTGTGTGTGCGTGCGTGTGGGTGCGCGCGTGTAAGTGCGCGCTCGCGTGCCTCTGTATGTGTATGTGTGTGCGTGTGTGTGCATGCGTGTGTGTGTGTTTGTGTGTGGTGTGTGGAGTGTATGTGTGTGTGTGTGTGTGTGTGTAAGTGTGTGTGTGTGCGCGCGCGTGTATGTGTGTGTGTATGTGTGTGTGTATGTGTGTGTGACGTGTGTGGGTGCGCGCGTGTAGGTGTGTTTGTGTGTGTGTGTGTGTGTGTGTAAATGTGTGTGGTGTGAGTGGTGCGTGTGCGTGCGTGTGTGTGTGTGTGTGTGTAAATGTGTGTGTGTGTGGTGTGAGTGGTGCGTGTGTGTGTGTGAGTGGTGCGTGTGTGTGTGTGAGTGGTGCGTGTGTGTGTGAGTGGTGCGTGTGTGTGTGTGTGTGTGTGCGTGTGCGTGTGGTGTGTGTGCAAGTGTAAGTGTGTGTGTTTGTGTGTGTGAAAAAATTATGTCATTTTAATCTTCGTTTAACACAACGGTGGAATTGGCCCCAAGGACGGCGACCGGTCCCATCTCAAAATATCTTTTTTTAAAAAAAGCAAAAACAGTTTGATTTTTACTTCAAGGCGGTGCACCTCAACTGCTATAAGTTATTTCTTTCTCCTCCGACACTCTAACTAATATAATTTAAATAGCGAAGGTGACAAATCATCGAAAAGGTAATTTTTAGGAGTGTTCATGCATTGTCTAGTAGGATAAAAACTGTTACGTAGTAATCAATATGTAGTGCATTGAATTGCTAATAAAATTAGCTTTTAAATGTCACACTTTACAAAACTAAGTTTGTATCTTGCGAAACGGCACTAAAATCAAAAGTATCGCAATATTTTAAAGTGACGGAGTGGAGAGCAATGACATATGACAATTGTTATTATAGAAATAAAAATCGACCTTCTTTGCGTTTAAAAAAAATCTTCAAGATGTTCTGAGATAAAAAGCGATTACCCTACAATTTGAAGACGAGATTAAATACCATTAGCAAAATTCGGATGAGTGGATTAGTGATGTGCAAGGAAGGCAGTGGCGTGGTTTTCCAAGCTGCTGTAACACTGAATCGGCTGAATAGACAATTCTTGTAGTATAGGTGTACTGGCACAATAATTTTACTGCTGGAGAAGCGAACTTCAATTTCTGAAATGATAAATATTGATTGTAAATAAGAAATATGTTATACAAAAAAACTTTCAGATTAAAAAGGAATCAAGCTTCCTCTAAAATCGTTTATAATAATTTGAACAGGTACACATAGGATGTCTTCCAAAATAATGCGTATCTTTTGTCTCTTAGGACCGATTCCAAGTTTAAAATGACACTTTTACATTAACAATGTCATTTTAATCTCCGTTTAACACAACGGTGGAATCGACCCTTAAAGGAATACTACCCTTTTAATTTACAATAAGTATGCCTCATAAAATAAAGGAAAAAATGTATTATACTATTCCTGAATGTACTAATTTTTAGTGAGATTCTTTATTTTTAATTTTATTAACAACTCCTCCATATTGGCTTTGTTGACTGTTGTCAAGTTTTCCAGATTTTACTTAGTACATTCAAAAATTCTGTTATTAAGTGTGTATGATTAAAATCACCTAGAACAATTAAGTTATTCCAAAGGTGAACATTGAAAGTCTACTTCATCCTTTCCTTGCATAATCCATACATTTATATATCTTATTCATGTTATAATGTTGACACAAAACAACAACAAAGTGTACTTGTATGAAATAGAAATTAAAAAACTTACCACTCGAAAAACGGAGACTTGAATACAATGACGCATTATTTGATATATGTCTGCATTTTTGAAATAATTTGTCATCATGTAATAGAAAAGATACATATTTGGAGTTTGGACTCAAAGGTATTTGATTTCGTTTTTCTTCTGTGATAACTGCATGTTGAATCTGTAATGCAAAAATGTTCACAATGTAAAGAGTGATCCACAAATAATATTTCTAAAGTAGGACACCACATGGAGGCAGGATGGGCACCACATGACCGACAAAGACATACAAGATTTAGAGTATTTAATATTATTTAGTCATATGTCTAATATTGAAATTAAAGTTGCTGTGAATTACTTATTGCATAAGCAGAAATATAAATAAACTGAAATATGTAAATGTTGGATAAAATCTTACACACGAGTGTGGAGTGATCTCATTACAAATCCATACACGACTGATCACAGGTCAATGCAGTACAAAAACTACAGATTATGAACTGCTGCGATAAATTATCCAAAAAGAAAAAATTGTATATAAAAAATAAAAATAAAATCGATCAAATTTCCCTCCCCTAACAGTTATCTATTTTGCTCTTCGCCCCTCTTCCCCCTTTAAAAGTGAAGATATTTTTTTAAAATCGGAGGCATAATATTTGAGTTGTTTGGCAATTGGCTGCATTTTACTCAAGCAAGACTAAAGTGATTTTTTTCAGAAAGTTTAATGGCAGTATGTATCACCTTTACCCTTAAAAGGCCCAAAATAAAAAGGCGAACATTGAAAGTCTATTTAATTTTCTGCAAGAAATAAGCTTGTGTTATAAATGGCAATAATCTAAATGAACTGCATAAAAAATTGAAATTAAAAAACTTACCACTAAAAAAATATTATTTGAGAAATTCCTGCATTTTTAAACTAATTTGTCATTATCTAACAACAAAAATACTTCTTCGGGTTTAAGCATATTCGGTTTAGTTTTCTCCTGTGATGACTTTTGAATCCACCATACATTTGGGATGTGCTGTTTGAATCTGTAATAGAAAAATGTTCACAATGCACATTTGTTTTGAATGATGATAAACTGATAAATAAAACCCTTTCACCTGAATTAGTCAAATGATACACGTTTGTATTTTGTTTTTGTTTTCTGAATAATGCATGTATTAACATTATCCATTTCCTTTTTGGCATATTTTTTAATAACAGACTCATGAATTGTAATTTTTTTTAATCTCATGGTGACTCCCTTGATTGTATTCATACTTGATTTGGTAGCGTATCTCCACAACAGTCTATCATGTCAATCTGAATTAAACGGCTTTCGAAAGAGCGCGTCCTGGTGGTCCGGAGACAACTTTTGGCCTGTGGTGACCAAAGTGATGCTACGTGGCCAAAAATAAATAACGGATATATTAATTTTTTTTCAGTTAGACACGTAATTACTATTTTTATTTAATCATGCATGACCAACATGTTATTATGAAGAAACAACAGAATAGAGAACACTTTCCAAATGAAATAATTGGAAAAGGGTATAATTAGTGTCAGATTGGGCCGTCGGTCTACCGGTCCAAAGATCGGTAGGCCCTCGTTCAAGCTGTGGGCCCTTGAGAAGAACAAAGAATCAAATGCGAAGAAACCCCGTAATACTTGACAACCTCGGAAAAAACATCAGTGTGCAAAGAGACCTTCTTTTGCTCTTTAATAAATCGAACCATAAAAAAATTGATAGGTGGGCCATTCTCCCTCCTGAACCGGTAGGCCCTATATAATATGCTAGCCGAAGCTTTAATCTCATAACTTGGGTACCACTAGTATAATTTTGGTCAGAATCCAAACCAGATTCAGTTGAACTTCTCTTAAACTGACCATAATTCATAAAGAGAGAAGTTACGCTATGGGCCTTTGCTTACAGACCACCCTGTATTCATTTAGGCAACTGGTGAACCAACCCTTAAGAATTGCCCTGTGGAACGGGTGGACAGAATACAGAGTGGCTTCAACCAGTGGTAGAAGCCCACCAAACAGCCACTTCTAAAACTGGCCGCATCTGGGAGACACCGGCTGGTTATCCTTAGACACCTCATTCTAGCGACAACCAGCAGGTTTTTCATGCAGTGATAACATGCAGGACTTTGATGAGCTGAGAAGACAGCTGTCTCTATACACCTCTCAGTGACTAGCAGATTTTAGACAAATTAAGAGGCAGGTCCTATATATGCCCCTAGGATGCACAAAATGGACCCTGAGTGCTGTGAATAAATCCATCCTCCCTATCTTACAGATACAGAGAGAGATCCCCCCCACACTTATTACACTTATTTTAAGAAAAGTAATGGTGTAAATAGGATTTAAGAAAGGGTTAGATAAAATATATAAAATAATGTTAATTTTTATTAAATTAAATTACAAAAGACTGTGATTCTTTGAAATAGCAGTAGTTGTACCATCTAGATATGTAGTTGTATGCACAGTACTAGATATGATGTTAGCGAACTAGCGACCTAAAAAATGAATGAGAAGTATAGCATTCAAGGTAAAAATCTAATAAAAGTACAAAAAAGGTGTCTGCTTTTATGATCCAGCGTGTACAACAGTGATCACTATATTTTCTTATAATTAATATCCCATGACCAGTGCTCAACCTGGACTTCTTGTTTAATAAATTTAAATACAGAGGGTTTTGCCAGACGAAAACGAAACATACAATATCTTATTACATTTGTTCGTAGCCTGTCGGCGACATGTCCACGGCTCCACGGCTCTACGGACGCTTAAAATCGAAATGCACATGCTTATCTATCGGCGTGGACATGTCGCCTACAGGTTCCGAGAACAAAGCTATTAATTTATTAGTCCACCAAGAGAGCAACGAAAAATATCTCGATAATCATTTCTATTTTTAATGCAACTGTTGCACATAACTGTAACATCAAGTTGGTTTTTAGCCCTAGGGCACTCATATGCCGCGTTTGAGAATCCAGATCGGATGCATTTTTTACATCTCGGGCGTTTTTTTATCCACATCGGACACATCTGTCCCATTACATTTACGTATACTGAATCACGTGATCAAAGATTTACTACATCTCAGATGCATCCGATGTGGATGCTCAAACGCGGCAATAAATAGCTTGCTGTTTGACAGTTGAGGACTTGGATAGAAAGATGTCCCTCCTTAATCAAAAATTGACTCATCCCAGCGTTTGTCTAAAATGTTCAAGCAGTTTCTGATGACATGTGCTATGGTTCGTTTTCGTCTTACCACTCTGTATACATATTACGGAGTAAAAACGTTTCTGAAGGAGTCCTTATTTTTTTTAAGCGCCAGTTTGGATTTAATTCATAATAGTTACCATGCACGGAGTTGTCTTTGTCGGTCAGGGCCTACTTCAGAAACATTTTTTGTGTGTCATTCTTTATATGCTGGCTATAAAAGGTGGGACATTCTGATATATATATATATATATATATATATACCGTATCTAATTTTAGATATACTTCGGAATAAAAAAAAGGATTTAAAACAAATCCTAAAAACTTTATTGAAACCCGCAAATATTGACGAAATATCTACCTGTTAAAAAATGATATACCTACCTGAAATATTAAAGAAATCCGTATTACAAATATATTATAAGCTGTTATTTCTACTTTATTATGAAAAAGTTGACATATAAAATATTTTACCTAAAAAATATCAAAATATTAAAACATTACCAATTTAATATTCGCTCAGAGCATAGTTGCTAAACTATAGGATTAGAAAAAGTTCCAATTCAGTATACAGCTATAAAAAATCACCATTAATAAAATAAATTCGACTAAATTACCACAGAAGGCAAAAAACTTGCAGAAAGACTGCACTTTTAAGACAGCTATAAATATATACCAATAGTATATTTCCCCGTAAATTTAAAATTTCATATTTTCAAATATTCAGTTTGGAATAGATTATTTTCACTAAACCGACGCCACTGGTTGTTCTCGGAAAAGGGTCTAATAAGTTTGTTCGTTTGTTCTATGTACCAACTTCATACCGGTTAAACTAGGTCAAGAAAAATCATTCGATTATAGTTTCCATTCGATTTTATCACCCTGATGCGACAAAACCGAGCAACAATCGATTAAGTGAAAGCATTTAAAGCTAAACTGTCACTGTCAGCTTGATTTGACGTTTGCGTTTTGTGAGGTTAGATAAGCCCGTGTCCGAGTATTCTAATTTCGATTTAAAAACGAGATCTAAAAGTGTACATGTTATTAAGAATTCTATCGGGAGTTGATATAACTTCAGATAAAGTATTCGACCTCATAGCCAAGATACCTGCATTTTTGTGCCTTTGTGAATAGTGCCCATAAAATCCAAATCTAGCCAATTTACAAACAATGAAACCTATGTTTTGGTTGTGATTTTTAGGTGTTTGTGAAATTTAATGTAGGTCCATTTATATCTACAGGGTGTCGCATCATGAATCGTGCATAGTGTTAACGTAGTTAGAAGCCTGACAAACCTATTTTACACCTATACATATAAATTCCGTTATATAAAGGGCGATACTGATTTTATTCAGTCTTGAATGTTACCTACTAGTAGTAGGCAGTCAAATTGATTTTTGAATGTTATTTTATTATGAATCAATTGAAAACTAATTTATTTTAAACTTGATGGAAAGTAATTTTTTAATAAATGAACTCATCTCTATTTTTTTACCAATAGTTACTGAAACATATTTATTGAATATAAATCACAAAAATATAAACTGAATCCTTGAACTGACTTCAAATTTCTATAAAAAGACTTTGCTCTGTATACTACAGCCTATCTAAATATTTTGAAAAAAAAAAATACATATTAAACTTAAAACTCCAGTGTTTTTTGTCATATGTATATGGTTTTATTTCAGATAGTTTAGATTTATCTCTTCATTTATTTGCATTGGTAAATGCTACTAGGAAATTAAGAACATTATTTTGTATGTTGTTTATTTATATTTGATTTAATGTGTAAATAAAATTCTTTAAATGAACATGGGAGACAATACTTATTTTTGTATCAAATACTACAGAAGTAACAAAAAATAAACACAATATATGTTCAAATCATCTTTGCATACAAACTAATAAAGGACACTACACTTTTTATACTAATTTTGGGTACTGTCATAATTTGTTCAAAGTTAAGAATGTTATTTTTCAAGTCATTAAAGGCAACTTTCTTGTAGACCCCCAGTTTGCAACTCTACAGGGTGATTTGTTAGGAGTGTATAATTAATATTTTCATATATACATGCCCGACAAAAGGGAGGGGACAAAATCCTTGGTGCCAGGCCTGGGGGTGGGGGAACTTTAAAAAAATAGGTTATAATATGTGGGAGGCGGGCCCTTGTCAGTGTTTTGCCCCAGGCCCACCATGGCTCTCAGCTGCTCTGCATATATACCACTCATTAAGTAATTCATGTTTTTTTATATAAAACTGATGTCATGTTTTATATATAATTAGTTCATGCTTACTTGTACTTTGAAAAAATTAGAAATAAGGTGCATTTTCATGTACATGTAAGACCTCATTAATCCAAAACCTGATAGTCCGGCAGATCCAATAGTCCCACACACATAAGAAATCTTTTTTGAAAAAAACTGTCTAAACAGCTCAACAGCAGTACAGTATTTATATGGCGCGGCCAACGTTACAACATGGTCGGGTCATATAAACTGGAAAAATTGATATAATTTGTTTCCTGGTGGCGTTAACAATCTCTATTTTTCACATGGACTTGTGCAAAGCATTTGGAAAAAAATTCAGTGACTGACACTGTATAAGTACAACACATGACATGAAGAAAACATGAGTTACTTAAGAGTGGTAGATATAAGAATAATTTATTTTAAAATTTCACCTTTAACACTCTATATTTATCTTATTATCAATATTTTATTGGGGCAAGTTGTAATGTTTTGAAGTCAAAAATCTACTATACTTTTATGTACAACTGCTTAAGGAAAATGTTAATTCTGCATTCCTCACTTTTGACTCCTTCTAACAGCTCACCCTGTATAAGATATTTTCCTATAATAACATGAAAAATAACCTTTATTTTTAAACAAATTCTGACAGTACCCAAAATCAATATAAAAAGTGCATGGGTCTTTTCTATTTTTAAAACTTTTGTACTGCTAAGATGATGATAAAGCTTTATTTTAAATTGATTTTAATTTTTCAGGTGTCTTCAAAATGTGGCACGAAGCGAGAAGACAAGAAAGAAAAATTCGGGGCATGCTAGTTGACTATCGGAGACGAGCTGAACGACGCCGTGATTTTTATGAAAAAATTAAAGCTGATCCTACCCAGTTTCTACAGATTCATGGTCGACAATGTAAAATACACTTAGATGCAAATATTGCTGCGGCAGCTGATACTGCCGTAATGATGCCATGGCAGGGTCAAGCTGATAATTTAATAGATCGATTTGATGTTAGGGCACATCTAGATTTTATACCTCCTATAGAAAAAACAGATGATGAAAAATTAACTCAAGATGAAAGACATCTAAATTATGAGAGGTATAGAATAATAGCTCAGAATGCTTTTTTAGCAGTACCTGAAGAGAAATTTTTAAAGCAGTTGCATCTAGAAGAACAATTTGGATATACAGAATTTAAAACAAAAAAAGATGCTAGAACAGGAGGTGCTGCCATTGGGTTTAATTATGAAGATAGTACAGGCGTTCCTCAAGAACCTCTTGTGGAAGAAGCATCAGATGATGAAAATAGTGATAGTGATCTAGATGTAGATCTGGCTATAAACGTTTCTAAAATGGACCCAACTCAAGCCAATGAAATGAACAAACATGGCAGAAGCTATGGAATGAGCTCAAATGATTTCTACTCTTTCTTAATTAACGATTTAGAAGAGGCGGAGGCAGTTAAGCAAGCAAGAGAAGAAGAACAAGAAAAGGCTCTGTTTTCTGGAAGAAAATCAAGACGGGAAAGAAGATATCACAGAGAGAAAAGACTCGCCAATAGAACTATAAGTCCACCAAGTTATGCTGCCAAAGCTTCACCAACTTTACTCAATTTACGTGAGAGTAAGTCTCATTCTAGAACCCCTTCTCCAGAGAATTCTGGCAAAATTACTTACATCACATCATTTGGAGAAGATGAAGAAACACCTTCAAGTAGTAAACCAACTGTAAGTAAAGTAAATTATGGAAAACCCAAACCTAAGTATAGTAATGAAAAAACAACTGTAATTTCCACAAATAGAAGACGTTCCAGAAGTAAATCTAGAAGTAAAGATAAATATTATAATAAAAACATTCGATCCAAGAATAATAATAGGTCTAGAAGAGGTAGGACTAGATCGAAGTCTAGATCAAGAAGAAGTAGAAGCAATAGTAGACCTGGATATAGGAGACACAGAAGTCCAACTCCAAGAAGTCACAGCAGATCCTATTCAAGGAGTCGTTCTAGGTCTAGAAGAAGTAGTCGTTCCAAAGACAGATCTAGGAGTTTTAGAAGACGTCATTCTTCCTCATCTAGTTCTTCTTCTAGTAAAACTAGTTCAAAATCTAGCAGTTCTATTTCTTCTCAAGATAGATCACCAAAAAAGAAAACTCCAGAAAGAAACAAAGTTGATTCAATTCCAAGTCCTCAGGAAATGGGATCTGAAACCATCCCGAGATATTATGGTAGAAGAAAAAATGATAAAAGTTCTTCGGAATTGAGCGATTTAAACGATGAAGATGATGATAAAACCAACTATGAATCAAACGGTGGTGATCCACAAAAAGATGCTAATGCAACTGCAGGAAAAAAATCATCAACTAGTTTGACAATAATAGAACGACTTAAAAGAAAAAGACAGGCTTTACTAAATAGACAGTTTAAAGCTGATAAAATAGCAGAACAAGCTAAAACTGAACGAGAAAAATTAGAACAACAAACAAGAGAAGATGAACTCAGAGAAATGGCAATTAAATTAAGAAAAAGGCAAAGGGAGAAACGCCATGCTAATGACAGTGTAAGTTCATCTGATTCTGATGACAGTACCAGGAGCTACGAATCAAACTATAGCAAAGAGAGATCACGCAGTAGGAGTAGAGAAAAAGACTCTAGACACCACCATAGAAGATCACGAAGGAACAGCAATGAAAGACGTGATGAAAGGCGTGATGAAAGGCATGATGAAAGACGTGATGAAAGACGTGATGAAAGGCGTGATGAAAGGCATGAAGAAAAGCGTGATGAAAGACGAAGTACTAGTAGAGAAAAAAGGACAAGAGAGAGAAGGGATAGGGAAAGAGATAGAAGGGGTAGATGGTCTTCATCACCAAACAGGGGAACTAAGGATAGGTATAGAGATGATCGTGACAAGGTTAGATTAGTAAACTATTAAATTTGATACTTATTAAGTGTGTCTTGACATTTAGGTATGTCTACTTTAGCTATGATTTTGTTTATTTTGAAATTTGTATTAGGTATGCATTAATTATTAATTCTTAGATGTACCTAAATAGTATGTATTTTAGTTAATTGTATTTCTAAAACTCAGTGTATTGATGGCTTGAGTGGATTCTTATAATAAAAGTCTTAATAGCCAAAACGACAACACCTTTCTATGATCTAACCATTTTATACTTCCTTCCCCTGTAAATTTCTGGTGTCTAGAATTATGTTTTGCACTTGAGCCATCCACAACTAAAATAACACTAATTTTGAATTTCTTGAGAAATATTAAATTTCCAGCCTATAATATGATTTATTTTTTATTTTATAAACTAATTTCATAAAATAACCATATACTTATTTGTTACTTATTAAAGGTGCTGAAACAACATCTAAATGTTTATATACTTACATATTCATCGATGGCCTCAGCATTGCTTTTAATATTATTCAAAATAGAACCAGTTCTGTGAGCCTAAATGAATATTATCAAGTTACAAGATTGCCTTGTATTATTTCAATCATATTCACAAATATAATACAGATAGGCCACCATTTAATTGCTATATTTTATAAACCATTGTTAAGACAAAGTTGGTTAAATTTGGCAAAGTTGTATATTTTGAAGCCCAAGAAGACGATTTGAAAATAAATTAGTTCTATTTCTTTATTCCACTAGAATATTATTTTCAAACAAGACAAAAGCTGATTCAATTTTTTTTGTTTTTTATCAAGTTGTGCATATAAAATAGCATATTTATAATGATAGATCATTTTAATGCATGTTCAATGATGTAACAACATATTGTGATTTGTCAACATTTTGAAAATCTTAGGAGAGAACTATTAGAGAGGCGCCTGTATTTTTTTATTTAAAAATGTTTGGATTAGTAAATGCTGTATTATCGGTCTTAGAAAATATGAATATTTAATACAAACGGAAAAATGTTAATCTACATTTGGAAATTACATGGTTCAAAAAATGTTAAATATAAAACACTATTTTTAATTTTTATCTTTCCAGTCTAAGAATTCGGCATACATTTTCATATTTCTTTTTAGTTTTTACTGGTAATAAATACGAAGAGCTTTACATATTTATTATTTCTGGAGGAGCACAGATCGTATCAATATCCTTATGAAAAGATATCTTTCGCAAGATGATAGAGATAACTTTATTTCCGTCACTAATGAGAAAAAATATTATTTTCAATTATTTTTCTTATTAGAATAGAGTTAACTAAAGACAAATTATGTACGTTTAGCTAATAAAATGTAGTTGCCTATTTAAAATAATTCATAATATAGGTCCGTACTAAATTACCCATTGAAAATTACCTGATGTTCAAAACTTTTGAAATGTTCAATATGCTGTTACCTCCCCAATAAACAGTTTATCGGCACCGTAACTGGGCCGAAGGACGCTTGCCGGATGCCGGACTCGGCCCGATATACGGGTGAGGCTTCGGCATATAGGTAGGGCATGTCCGCCCTGCCGAATGTCGGCAGTAGACATGGGTAACGCAGCGCTGCGTTGCGTTAACGCAGTTGTATGCGTTACGAGCGTTGATACACCAGCTGTTACTGTATCAGCGCAACGCAATTTTCGATACTGAGTCGAAAGGATCGCGAATCGCGAGTTGTTGATGCGTCATGCGTTGAGAATTGGTTGAGAATTTTAATTTACGTAATTGATTCAACTCGTAATGCAGATTACCCAAAATCTATCAAGTAATTAAGTTCTTTGCAACATGTCACATCATTTGTAGGATTGTAGGTCCAATTTTATGGATTTTAACCTTGTACACTGTCAGTTTTTAGTTCTTTCCATTTTGATTGGCTACTAGTATACAAAAGTTATATCCTTTTTATATAAATTGGAATTATTGTATTCTTTGTAAAATCCGAACACAATTAAATAAAAAAATGGGTGCATTACACTGTTATATTTTCATTTATTTTTAAACATATAATAAAAAAAAAATTTAGTTAAATTCCTAATTGCGTTATTGTCTTGAACACGGTTTGACCACATTAGTAATCTATGGTTTGACCCCTCCGGTTTGACCCTTATAAAAGGACAGCCCGCGCTTAATAACACAGGTATCGACTTCATTCGGCGCAGGCAGTGGTGTGACGCAATAACGCAATTGCGTTAACGCAATGAGTTGGCACAATAGAGTGCGCCGGAGTTAGTGTATCAACGCAAAGAATTTTAGTGCGTTACCCATGTCTAGTCGGCAGCCCACTAAATTGTAGCCGTGTTCATAACTCGCGTATTGGGGACAACACTAATCATTTGTAGTGCGCATGTCGTACGCGTTTTATTTGTACATCGGTCTCCTTTTGACAGAGTAGGTGAGCTGTGTCCAGGCCGTTGGTGTTTATGCCGGTCGGCGTAGTCAGGTATGGATTGAAATTTTCTGGTGGCGGCGTAGCCGCCACCCTACGAGAAGTCGTTGCTTCGTATTTTCTTGTTATCACGGTATTATTATTTGTTCATGTATGTGAAATTTGCTTCTAAGGTTTATGAAATACTACTTCTAGTCACGGCGTAAATGAAAACAAACAAGACGCATTCACACAAACATCTCCCACCACAGCAATTACAAATAATGATTAGTGTTGTCCCCGATACGCGAGTGTGTTCATATATCTATACATTATACATATGTAATTCGGCCCGTAAGGATGCCTCCCATGTCCGGCTAGCCAAATACTAACCGCGTGCGGCACGTAAGGATGCTTCCCATATGGGCCATATGCGGTTTCTACTTCTAAATTAGGTCAAATGGTACAGTCCTCTCGGCTCAGAAGAAACTCTGAGTACTCGGCTTCTCGTACATGCCGGTGTCAGGCCGAGCAAATGCCGACTATTTGTGGTTTACTTGGGTCATTGTATTAAGTAATATTTAATGTTAAAGATTGTACTTTTGCTAAATAAATAAATAAATTCACCATTGAATATGCAATAAAATTATCTGTCGTAATATTATTCATATGCAAATAAAGAAGTTGAGGGTGGTCCGGCATTTACGAAACGTCAGATAATTTGTTATTTATAGAATATCTCTGAAACCGGCTCCAATATTTTGGTTTTCAAAATGTTCTTAGATTGGGATTTTAAATATACAACTTTGTGTTTACGAAATAGCAACACATTTCAATTAATGATGGTCAATCACTTATAAAAAAAAGATACAAAAATATGAAAACAGCATCATCATAATAATAATAATAATGCAATTTGGTTTTCAATAATGTGTGCAATTGAGCTCTAATTATTAGTCAACATTAAAAACACGGGTTTCAACTCGCTTTTGCCAAATTGTCCTTTTTCAGATCTGTTTTTCTGACAAACTGTTCGTTTTAAACGTTTTTCTGCTTGGCAAGTGTCAGACTACCAATAGATGTTTTCATCTGAAGACATTGCCTTTGCAAGAGCTTTGTGCCATCTATCAGTTTACATGGTCTCATATTTTTGTTCGCACCCCCTGCAGAATACGGATTCTGACAGCCCCATGATATGGAGATGCTTCCGTACTTAGCAATGACTAATCAGAATGTCTATGATCAGGCGCAGATTATGTCTAGTCATAGTCAAGTATTTGTTTGCTGCAGTGTTGTCAGGATAACTTAAAAGCTCCCTGGCAAGTCTGCAGATTCTTGATCCATTCCATCTTTCCTTGAATTTCACAAGAGAATGTTCTTTAATTAGGTTTATCACTACAATAATAGAAGACACAGAAACAAGAAGAAATTTATGCTGACGCCGTAACCAAATTTGTAAACCTGATAAGATGGCAAAAGCTCTTGCAACGATAATGAAAACATGTATTGTGACGTTACAAGAATTATTTTACTCTACAGGTATGTGGCAAAACTTTGGGTGCTCTTCCTTACTGAATTTTAAGACAAAAACTTCACATAAACGTAGCTCCTAAACGGCTTTATTTTCAAAATACAAGGTGTTGATAATATACCTACAAAAAAAACTATCTCTGGGATAAAATACAAAATGAAATAATCAACTTGATCGGTGAAAATATCAAATCCAAAATTTTAGAACTATCCAAAAAGGCAAAATATTCGATATCGGGGTCTATTCTGTAAAAATTCCTTTATATTTAACGGCCTTTAAAAGTATATTTGTATTCGTTAATTTACTTCTGTCATTATTTAAACAGATTTCTTTAAGATAGTACTCTAATGTATTTTAAAGATCCGTTTAAATAATGACAGAAGTAAAGAAGAAAATATTTTTAAAGGCCGTTAAATATAAAAGAATTGTTACAGAATAGACCCCCATTATTAGACTGCACTCCTGACTTTAGTCACCAAGAACAAATTTCAGTTTGTATAAGATTTGTTAATTTAAAGAGCACGGGAATTAGTATAGAATATTTTTTATTATTTTGTCCTATAGATGATGTGTCGGGTGAAGTCTTGCTTCTACTAAACGCTGGTCAATTCTAAAATCAAATGTATCTAAAGTAGTTTTTCCTAAATATCTAGAAGACGAAAATTAGTATTAATTAAATTGAAACGTGGTGAAAATTTTACTGCAACAAGAATCGTTTAAAAAAAAAAAAAACAGTTTTTTTTTCTTAAAATAAAACCATTTAGGATCTTCGTTTATACGAACTTTTTGTCTTAAAATTGAGCAAGGAAGAGCATCTTAAAGTGTAGCAATATAAACGATCACCCCCTATATGTATACAATTATCTTTTAAAATAAAATCATCAAAAATACGTGGATACTTTTTTCCTTCTCAACAACAATGTTTCTATATTTATTTTTGTATTTTATCAACCTTTAGGCGAAGACTTTGTTTCAATTTTTGATGGTTTTATTTCCAGAAAAGGATAAGAAAAGAAAATATCAACTTATCAATTAAAAATAAATACATCAGTATTAAATACATTTATATAAAGTGATCCAATGAAATTTTGAAATTGTATTATCTGTTTTAATTAAAGGAATTTTTTTCTGATTTTAAATAGTAATTTTTATTATCAATTTCGATTTTAACAGGGGAGATGTTTATATAAAATTATTGAATAGGTATGTACTTTACAGGGAGGAAATTATTGTATTGTTTTTATAAAACTCAATGTAAATAATTTAAATCTCAACTGAAGGATTGTCAGTGCTTTAATTAATTATATAACATGACATTATTGTGTACCTACCTCTACAGATATCAGAGACCCTGCAACGCCTAGGAAAACCAACTGTATTCCGGCAATTACAATATTTCCTTTGCCAAAAAATTGATATAGCGAGGTTGTTTTTTGGGCAAATTGCGTAGTCGGCAATTTGATAAAATAGAGAGTGTAGACTTGAAATGAAATAAACATTTGCAGAAAAGAAAATAACAGAGGAGAGGAAAACATTTGTAGTAGTTCATCAGTTAAAGTATGTAATCGAAAATGTTTCATACGAAGATTGTCCAACATAGCTAGATGTTTTTCATTAAAATACCTGAAATTAGATTTAATGAGAACATTTTACATCTGTACATGAGAAACGGTAATTACAGCTAGGCCTTCCTTCATTACACACCTTATGAATTTGGATGGGAACAAGAAAAGTTGGTTAATTTACAGAAAATATTTCTTACAAAAATCAAAAAAATTGTCCGTTTCTCATGTATAAAATCTAATTAACTTACACAGCCTGAAATTTTTTTATAAGAAATATATCAGTTTCATAAATCCCTGTATTATGACCATCATTAAATCGATCTTTCCAATCCGAAATTCCTTTGTTAATCCATTGGTATCTTCTTCTCAACACAAGTAACAAGCAAAAAAATTTTAAAAACATTACGTTAGCAGCCAACGTTGGAACGCAGTAATTAACATTACTGAAAAATTTGTCGAAACTAGTTGGATAAAAACACAAAATATCGACTACAAATATAAAAATTGCTGTTGAGAAAGATAAAATGCTCGCAGAAGTAGTTTCTATTCTCATTTTCAAAAATTCTCTGGGAATGTTGATGTTTAATTTTAAATTGATTATTTCGTTATCCAAAATATATAGATCATGCAACCATTTTACCATCTGAAAATATCAAGATCCTAAGAGTTTCGTATGACTTAACAATGCTCAACTCGCTACTTGAAAAGTATTGAAGATAAAGAGGAGGTACCTACCTCGAACGACTTCGGAAAACTCATATTTCTCTCTCTCCAATGTGTATTAATTAAGTGAGAGAATTGCAAAGGTACCTTGCAAGTAGCGAGCAGAGTCATCAATTATTGAGGAGCTAACTTTCAAACGCGAACTAGTCGCCTGCTTAAAAGGATTTTCCAGGTAACACAAATAATTGATTCTGATCTAACTAAGAGGAAATGAAGGTGAAAATTGCTTTATTTCATTAATTTAGATGTCATAGATATTATTTTTAACAACCATTGAAAACATTTTATCGTATTTTTTGTTTGACTTAATTTTTTATTTTGGACAAGTTCGCGTTTGAACAATTTGGAGAAGTTCGCGTTTGAATGGAACGTCCCAGGACAAATTCGTTTTTGATCGGAAGCAATAAAAACACAATTTGTTTTATATGAGTAATGTTCAAGTTTTATTTTTTACTTAAATTTGGAACAGAATAATATTACTTAGGTAAAAAAATAGATATTTTTTCATTTTAAAATTGAAATCAAATTAATTTTCTCTGTTGAATTTTTCAATCTTGTCAGGTATGGAGCCAAGCAGTTACATCTTTCATTAACATCATCATTTTTATTTATTTATTATAATGCTCTACATACAGGCAATCCCAATTACAGAGCAGGAATGAAAGAACATATACATTATGTAGACTTTAAAATATTGTTGAATATAAATAATTTATTTGAAATGACAAAATGATAAATTTCATTCTAGATTGTTTTGAAACGAGCATTGCATTATTTGAATCAAATAAATATTTATTAGGAAAATACTATGGTGTTGCCACGGGACATTTAAGCACATGGCAGCGTATTTGCAGGCAAATTGCGTGAGGATAAGTAATTATTAATCTTAACTTTTATAAAATATATGATGTGCAAAGTTTGGATTAAAATTGTTGTCTTAGTCCTTGATTCTACGCCAATGGATAATGGTAATTTATCAAAATAGAGTGTGTTAACTAAAAATGACAATTAACTGACATATACATATTTTTAAATTGAAATATTTACCGTAAGGGAAGATATTTAGAAAAATATGTATGTATGAAATTCACTTTATCACACTGTAGAATTAAAACTGGGACATTTACAGGAAAATTATATTTAACTTTTCTTAATAATTATTTAAGATTACCAGTGTACGGTACTTTATTCTGAAACACACTGTATCTTCATTCTAGTTTTAAAATAAACTTTGTAGTTTGAATTAAATAAATTATATTTGAACGAAACAAATAAATGTTTGGACTAACTAAACTGTTACGCATCTACGTTTTGTTGATTTTATTAAAATATAAGAAAACCTTTTTTAGAGTGTATATGTTTGTTTCTCTCATATTATCTATTAAATTCCTTTGCCGTCCTGCGTTGTTTTTACCAAAGATAACAGGAGGTATAATATCCGCTGTTGTCATATGCTCATTTCATTATTCTCGTTTTGTTTACAAAATTATTTACATATATTAAAAAAGCTAAAATAATTCAACCTATTTTATTGCAACTGAACCCAAAAAATTTTGAATCATTAGTTATATTAAATTTAAATAAATTAGATGTAATAATTTTCAATAAATTCCAAAACCTACTCATGTTAGGTTGGAAGTGGCAACAGGACTTACATCGGCATGGATATTTACGTTATTATAAGCGCACAGCGTCTTACACATTTATTCATTGATAAAATAAGTTGTATCTGCGTAAAATTCTTCTCTTTATCCCCTCTCTTACTTCTCACCTTTCGTCTCCTCGCCGCGTCCCTACAAATAGAGTGTATCGATTGTCGAATTAATCTTGGCATCGTGAATATGATATTTTATCAATGAGTGGTTATATCTCTGTTATCTCTGGTTTTTACCGAACCTGTTTGTAATGTAATAATACTTACTTTATTAGTATACAGCATTTCTATTATACAGATTACTAAAGTATTTAAAATAGCTTCAAAGGTTTGTATAGTCTCCATTGCGCTGTACAACAGATCGTTATCCATTTTATGACTGGTAGATATTTCGTTGTATGCGGATACACAAAAAAATAGTAAGAAACATACAGGATAAAGATATCCATAAAATGAAACCGAATATCCACTCTGCTTTATAGAAAAACAGGTAAATCCAGATATTTTAGAAACGAAATAAACTGGCATTAAGACTTGGTAAATATTTTTGACGTTCGGCATGTTTAATCAATTATCATCACTAAACACGATGAGGTTTGGGTAGTTAATAAAAATTATTTCCAACATCACGCTATCAATTCAATATTTTCATTATGACATCTTAATCATATGTCGTTTGACAGTAATGATATTGTTTTGTGATAAATTGATGAAGTCAAACTATCTTCGATTATCGTTTATTGTATATTAAGGTTAAAAAAATTATATCGCTATAAGTATGTATTAAAATTAAACTCTTTTTTTTTAAGACGCGCCCCACATTCTCATTTACAAGGTGATTTATCCATTTTCCTCATTTAATTATTCATAAACTACGAACCACACTAGTTATATACATGGTGTTATTGAATCAGATGTACATATTAAAACTGACAAGAATTTATTATGTCCAAAAACTGACACCAATTTTAGCATTAGATATATTTTAAAATGGTTCAATTTACCCTTTTCGACCTATTATTCTACGCTTGATTTTTAAACCAATCTTACATAGCATTGTAACAAATTGGAGATCCTTATAAGTCCCCAAATAAACCACTTAACTCATTTTCTCAAAATTGTCAACGCAAAAACAGTATTTTAAAAGACTCTAGGTTTAAAAATACTGTTTTTACGATGACGTATGAAAATCTTAAGAGAAATGAGTTCTTCAAAGTTTAAAAATAGATCCCCTGGGGACCTATTTTCAAACCGTGTGAGTACTCATTCCTCTCAAGATTCTCATCAGAAATGTCATACGTCAATGTGGAAACGCTGTTTTTAAAGGCCTCGAGGATTAAAATTCTTAGGAGGATATTAATTATCTCTAAATAAACCGTGAGAAATAATCAGTGAGTTTACACTGGCCCTTAGGACCCTAAAAATACTGTTTTACGTTGACGTATGACATTTCTCTCGAGAGAAATGAATTCTCTCGACTTTGAAAATAGCTCCCCTGGTTATTTACATCATGATCATATTCATGGGTGTGGATACAGATCAGTGGCGGTAGCTGTTCAGATAACAGGTACACGATATTTTTTTTATTGTTTTTCTTTTGAACTAAAAATGAATCAGGAGGCACCTAGTCGTAGCAACTTATCTGTGAAACGGCATCATTTTTCGGAAGCGGAATAACTTAATAAAAAACGTAATACCTATATGATGGTATTCAAGAACATTTTCCAGATTATACAGTAAATGAGGTAGCAAAATTTAAACTTTGTGAGAAATTAGTTAATGTTTGAGACGAACAGTTTACAAAGTGTGGAACATAAGAGTATCGAATATAAAAAAAAAACAGGAACAAACATATATTAGAATAAAAAAAGTTCAGTGTCAGGATTAAAATATATATTTTTTTTGTTAAATAAGGGGCAATATTTTAATGTACACAAAAATAACGCTCTTGTACAGGGTGTTTCCGAACTTGGCGTCCAAATTTGTAGGGGTGGTAGTTCGCATAATTTAAGACCGATTCGCAGATTTCATTTTTACAAAATATTTAAAATAAAAATAATTAAAAATTTTAAACAGGTACGGTCCTGCATAGCGATAAAATCGCCTCGACTCCCGCGCGCTACGCTTAGAATCGACAAAATTGCAAATCGCATCTGTTTTTGAGTTGTAAATCCCGATAAGTAACCGATCAGGCAACTATTGCGCTACGCGCTCAGGGTAGGACCCGCTCTTTGATTTTTTTTATAATGGCTCTATTTTGTTTATTATAATTTTTTTAGAAAAATGAAATCTGCGAATCGGTCTCAAATTATGCAAACTACCACCCCTACAAATTTGGTCGCCAAGTTCGAAAACACCCTGTATATGTCGGGTCAATGGAACAACCTGTCAAAATATGTTGTAATTTGAAAGGTATGTTCTAAAAATATATTATAGGTACGACACAAATAAAACGATACCCACGCATGTAGAAGAAAACATAATAATAATACTCTCCCTAATTCACCCCCGTACGAGTGAATTTTAACGCCAAAAGCTGAGCTTGTCCGGGGAAAGGGACGGCTATTATTATTTGCCGTGGCACTCAGGGGCGACTTAAAGATGATTGATGGTGCCATTTGACTTACAGGTGAGGAAAACCCGGAAAACCTCACCAATTATTGTGGACATTGAAAAAAATTAGTATTAATGACATATCGTATCGTATAATTTAAAATGATATTCCTTGCCAAAAATAATAATTTGCCAAATTGGCAAAAATTATAAGGCAATTGTAAAATTATGACCAAAAAGCGAAAAAAAATGTAGTTTGTGCAACAAGAGTGGATATGGACAATCCACTTGAGTTGAACAATAACAATATATTAATTTTCCTACGACTAGGTTGGCCAGATTTACAAAAGGGAAAAGCGTGGTAGATGAAAAAAACAGGTCTTTTTTGTGGAGATCTAAAAAAAGTATTCAGAGCGTGGCATTTTGGCGTGTCAGCAAGTGAAAACCCGTGTCAACAAGTGAAAAAGCGTGGCAATCTACGACCCACTAACGAAAATATACAAATTTTAAAAATTATTTTACGTTATTAAGACAAAATAACTAATTTTAAAATAATTTATGACTTTTACTAATTTATAAAATAAGCATGAAAAAAAGATTTAATTTTATTAGTCCCCGGCCCAGATTTGAACCCAGGCCTCTCGCCAAATGCTCTGTCCTCTTTCATCGACACACTTACCATTTTAGTTTTAATTCTCGTAAATAAATTAACAAGCTAGGCGGTACCTATCAACTTGGAGGATGAACAATGGACTTAACCCACCCTCCACACGTTATAGATACGTATGTAAAATCGCCAAACTTGACACATTTTAATGGCCCGATAAAAACTACCCAAAACTTTAAACGTATTTTGGAAAAATTCAGTGAGGAGTAGCTAAAATATTTATACAATAGTTTTTGTGTAGGGGAATATTTTTGATTTTATGCATTTTTTAAGCTTGAATGAACAACGGTTTACGAGGAAACTGAGAAAAACCGGCAAAAAATGTACCACCCGGGAGTGATGTTTTGCAAAATAAGGGATGTTGCGGACAGTGTACAATTGGGAACATTCTGGGGTTTTGTTCCTAACCCCTTTGAGAAATTGTATACGTAATATGAAAAATTTCCTATTCCATGTTTATATGTTTAATTTACATATAACTATTTTAGAGCTGCAATGACTCCAGGCCGTATAAGCAGGACATACATGGTATCCGAGACTTTACAGTGATCAATTATGTCGTATGAGTCAAATAAAATGATTCTGCAACATTTTATTTCTAGAAATTCCTCAAGAATGTCATGTGAAATGTTATAAAAACTTTGAAGAACAGGAACTAATAAATTATAAACATTTCTAACAAATTTTTCAAGGTCTAATATTATTTAGCAGTTTAATTATTACACCATTACACGAAATACAAAGGATTAATGTTTAATTTTATAAACAATTGTATAAGCTGACATGTTCTGTTATTTTATCACATTAAAATCCTATTATTTTTATTTAAATAAATCATAAAAGTATAATAATTTACATCGAGTTTAAACATTAGATATATTTTCTTACATATCAAAATACTTGGCAACCCTGTACACATCTGTCAAAATATTTGTTTAAAAATTTACAATTTTGGAGATTTTTTCTCACTTAAACGTGGATAATCCGCATTTTTTTTTATTTTCATGAATTTCGTGTGTGCGTAAAGTCGAAATTTTAATTAAAATACTAGGAAAATATTACTATTTTATTTGATATATATTTCGATTAGGTTAGTTTCAGATTTCTTTGATATTTATTGCAATTTAATTCACAATTTGGCAACGATGTTGCTCACAAGGCGGAATTTGTCAATATGGAGTCTAACAATTCCTTTATATTTAACGGCCTTTAAAAATATTTTCTTCTTTACTTCTGTCATTATTGAAACGGATCTTTAAAATACATTAGAGGACTATCTTAAAGAAATCTGTTTAAATAATGACAGAAGTAAATTAACGAATACAAACATATTTT